GTGTGAGAAATAAGTTGTAATGCTCGGCACTTTGCATCCCTAGAAGAAGAAGAGTAGAACATACAATAGAAAAAGCACAATTCATTTATGGCAGATTTTCCTTCCTGGGCACTTCCTTTGCTTTCTACACTTGTCAATCACTATACATGATAAATCTACATTTTGGGTCTGGGGAAGAGGGGAACAAAATGTCTGTATTCAGTTTGAAGGCTGGATTCATCTACTATCTATTATAATCTACCATTTCTAGGATATCATAGTAAACTAGAAAAACAAAAAATTAGAAGCGGTTGGGATATGACAAAAAAGAAGATTTAAGAGGCATTTAAGATTTAAGTGGTTACAAAACAACAACCTAACAATGAGAAAAGGTCACACATTACATGGAATAAACCACTGACTGGTCGAATCATAATAAATAAGTGGTATGTTTGGTTCACAGCCAAGCCTTCTCTTGAACTTTATGTGTTTACACTCCATCATTAAAAAGGCTGTTAGTTTTAAACATGATTCGATGGCTTCACAGCTGACGTTATAAACTGACACAGAACTCAAAGATGGGAGAACAGTCTGTGCTGGTGGGGCTTTTGGGGGGGGTGATATGAAAGACAAAGAAGCAGAACAGTAATACATTTATATGTCTTTGAGTTTCATGTCACTGCATTTGACTAGGCCTATCATCCTCTATCCGACGGGAGCCCCTGTGTTAATCAGTTTTCTTCTCCTCGGGATCCTTCTCTCCAGCATCATCTTCCTCGTTCTCGCCCTCTTCGGGGCCCTCCAGCTCCAGCGGCGCCATTGCCGTCCTCCTCCTCTTCTTCCTCCTCGTCAGTCAGGCCCTCCCTCTTGAGCGCGTCGATGTCATCCGAACCGTCATCCGACTCAGCCGTGCAGATGCCATAGCACATCAGGCTAATTACACCCAGCGGTAGGCCGAACAGGAAGCAGCCCAGCAGTGGAGAGCTGCGAAACACTGACTGATGTAGGAAAGGAGACAACAAAAGATGAAAGGGAGACAGAAAAGAGGGAGGTGAGTGGGGAGGGAGGATATGGAGTACAAAAGTAAAGTTTGAAAGAGATGCGGTGGGTTGAGAGAAATATAGAAATAATGGAATAAATGAAGACGGCAAGAAAGGACAGAAGAGAGAACAATATATTAACTTTTTGCACAATTAGAAGGCATTTAAGCGTGTTTCCCCTAACAACTATAAGAATCTTTACTTTTCTGAAAGCCACTTCACTGTAGATGTATATATGTATATATAAAAAAACATCTATGAACATTAGCAGCATTGATGGCTTGGGAGTAAGCGCCACTAAAGTATATACACACACAACAACAATAATACTTAGAGTGACTTAACGTGGCTGAAGTTGTGATCTGTTGCACGTATAACTACACCCAACAGTGATGTCACAGTGTACTGACAGACCCTAGGGTACGATTCGAAATCACTGCATCTTTTGGCAGGTATTAAGTTGCTCTAGAACCCTGAAGCCCCGTCTTACAGGGCCTCCCTATGTCAAAATCTAGTGCTATGCTTTTAGTATTTACCATGCTTGCTGTTATATGTTGCATATACCTGCATACGTTTGTATTTATTTAATTTCCACGAGCCTAATCTGGTTACAAACCTCTAAATCACAATCTATATCTTTATCTTTTTGAGCAATTCCAATAAGTCTGGCGTGATGCTCACTGGCAGCTGTTTCACATGGTTTGAGAAACAACTGACCAATCAGTGCTTGGTAGGATTAAGAATGGAACGTCATCCTACGTAGCTAACTAGCTGCTTAGCTACATCAATGAAAAATATCAGAAATATTGTGACAAGCATAGAGGAGATCCCTGTACAAGATGTTGTCAGTCAATTTAGAGCAGTATAGGTAACTCTTGAATCTGAATATTACTTTGATCATCCTGACAAACTGGTCATAGTAAACGCTACCGGAGCTTGTGTCAACTAGAAATGATGCGGGCAGGATGAATACATCAAAACCAAACATGGGAATGATGACAACAAGTTGCAAATTCATTCTGCGTAATGGCAGGAACAGCACAGTTCCTGATGTGGTACTAAAAGACAGTAGCGAGAACCAGGGTTCAAAAAAGGGGTAAGGAGCTCATTTTTGCCCTAGGCCCCCAAATGGATTAATCCAGCCCTGACCTTTTTTTCTCAGGTTCACACTCAAAACAACAAACACACTAACACTTATCTCTTTTTTCCATCTCTCTCAGTGCACAGCGCAGATGTGGAGTGAGTATCTGGCTGTTTAATAAAAGTGTTTCATCTCTTTCAACAGCCAGTGTTTACAATAGTAAAGAGCCCCCCAGCTATTAGGTAGAGGGAAATCAAAATCCTATTCAGAGGGAATTATTTGTGAGAAAAATCGCAGACAGGCTTTTATGTTTTTAGCGACGATTCCGCATTTTTATTAATTCATTTATTCATCGATTTGCATTACGCCATTAAGCTTCGCAAGCGTGTTTAGAAGGCAGGTCACAAATCATTTGCAGAAACTTGGGCAGGCTTTAATATTTTAGTGTTAATTAAATTTAAGTCATGTAATTTTAAAGATGTCTGTATTATGTTATATTGTTTTTATTCTATCTTGTCTGAACTTGTTTTTGTTTTACACCCATAACCATATTGGAGAGTTGTACCCTTTTATCTATAATCCTTTGGGTTTCTCGTGCTTTTAAATTGTACAGTTTGAACTGGAATAAATAAAGAAACCTCCAACTTCAAACACAAGCAAAAGGTCCACAGTTATACACTAGTCTGTCTGAAGATATTTTCTGCACGCACGCACACACACACACACACACACTTTTTTTGTCTTCCTCACCTATAATAGGCTCACCCCCTCCCCCTCCCCCCCATGACCACAAACTCAAACACACTGTATCTGCATGTGTACAAAGGTTGTGTGCACACATACTGGGATGTTTCTTGACAGTGAATTATAACTACATTTTTGCTCCAGTTCAACATGATCTGTGCATAATGCATAATGCTATTTGTTTGGGAGTATCTGCTCCCTGGTCACATCCATGTTACTGAACTTGCATGTGAAATTAAGCATGTACTTCTCCACTCCTGCAAACCATGATCCCTCAT